CTTTTCTATATTTATATTTTCTTGTACGATTGTGTATTTTTTTAAGTATACAAGCGTTGACCGAGATTTCAACGGTTTTAAACTAATCAATACGCTTGGTACAAAATATATGTTATGTGAACGATGACTTTAGGATAATTTTTAATCATACTAAACGTAAAACGGTCATGCCTATCAATTATCTCACAATAACGAATTATCAACAGGTTTCTCTCGTGTTTACTGATGATCGTCGGCGGTCATTGAGATGAGATCAGAATAGAAGAAAAGTAATCATAATATAATGGTATGCACTTTCAGTCTTCTTTTTGATAAGACACCTTATACCTATACATAAAATGTGTTCTATATATATATATACATATAACATACTCGTATATCTTTTAACGCCCAGCGCCCTACGCTAGTTTATTTTTGTTTATGTTATACTTGTATTTTCTAGAGCTTTATTAACTTTTTAAACTTAAATGGTAACATTGTTTAATTACTTTTTTAAATTAAGAATAATTTGCTGAAAATGTTGACTAGACGTTAACCAGTTTTGAATAAATAGTTTTAACGTTAAGTTTAAAATTTAGGACGGGAAGAGGGGGGAGTGTAGAGTTATTTTTATCTGTGCCCATTGAGTATTGAACACTTCACCTACCGTCCTAAATTTTAATTTGGCGTAATGCGTTAAAAGTATCACTGCTATACGATATTATATAGATATATTTTATATATAACCCTAAACCTAATCATACTGAAGTCACATATACCTATGTTTAAAATATAAAAAAAAAATACAAGAGATCCAATTCGAAACACTTTTCAGTACCTATCCCTTCGAAGGTCGTCAAAGACATAAAATCTACCGCAACCCAATAATTTTGATAGGTACTGATCTTGGTAATACTATATAGGCTACTCCTTGGCTCCCACATCATCGGTTTGGTATAATGAAAAATAATGTATATACTATATCGTATCGGACCCTATTATCGAGTAGGAGGTTCTCAATAATATACCTGTACAAGCTGTATGGTGTGTATTATATACGTATATTATCTTTTAGATGATGTTGTAGTAAATAAAAAAAAAAAGAATAACAATTATTACTATTAAAGTATATTTTTTTTACCATTTTCCACTCGAGTCGTTTTCACGGTATATAAAAAAATATATTAAAAAGAGTAACGCGACTGGTTATAATAATATTATGTAGGTGTACTGCATACTATGTCTATGTTTAGTAGGTAAGTTCCATTTGTTATAATATACATCGAGTATCGAATAATACTATAAATAATAGTTGGCAAAAAACTGGTTTCCCGTGATGTGTTATAATCAAAATACATGCAGACCAGTTAATTAACTGCATTGGCGTTGGTGTTTTAATGTATTATAATTATGCCTTGTTCGTTCTCTACCATTTAGAGTTCTGTGTCTGTCTATAGTAATTTGGCAAATTGCTCGATCGAATTCGTCAAGTGTAAGATGGGCCCCTCCCATGATTAAATGTATCTCTAATCTTAGATAGATCTCGAAAAAACTAGGATTTAACAAACCAAACGATCGTCGGATCATAGAAATCGATTCGTAGGAGATAAAACGATCGAAATTAATTTTTTTTAAATCTTTTAATTTTTCTATTAACTGCTAACAGCTCTTAAAACATATAATTGCAAAATGAAGTACCTACAGCCTTTCGAGTCCTCGATGAATGTACCTACTTAAAGTCTACTTACTATCGAAATCCATTGTAACAAATGTTTAAATACGACTAACGGCCACACACACTATCTTGTTTTTATAAAAAAAACATCAGAGTGCTGAGTAGGAATAGTTTATACTATTAACATTTTAACATTCATGTATAGGTAATTTTGATAGCGATTAGACTAAATATTATGCAGCAATAAAATTACAATATAAAACCAGTTTTTACCAATGGCTAGGGATATCCATGTCATTGAAGTGAAATATTGAAAGACAACAAATCCCATATTCAACGTAAATAAATTATAATTATACATATATTATTGTATAGAAAATAAACGTTAAAAATATATTTGTTATAGCTATAGTACTTCAATGATTCTAAATATACTCACAATATTTTTTATTAATTAAGTTGGTTTACTTAAAAATTAAAAATTGTGTTGATAATCATTTTTGTATTATTAATAGTAATTATTCTTGAACAATATTTTTAAATATATTAATATTTATCGAATGTTTTGCTCTAAACCGTCACTACAGTTATTATTGTCAGTTTAATTATAATTTATTATTTTATTATTGTTTTACAAATTATATTTTGTTAATGAAGGTTTTTTTTAAAAGTAAATTTAAAAAATAATTAAAATAATTATTTTTTTCTTATTATTACACCTCTCACTATCGGTATAAGTAGGTACTAATGTTCTATTCTCGGTATTTATTCAACAGTAACTGCGACGGAATCTAAGAATTCAGTTGCAATATTAGGTATATTTTCATCTTAGTTACAATGCATTAGAGTACAGACTGACACGACAATGTAAATAAACTGTAATAATAATATCCCTATGAGAAAAGCGTGTAATTCATTACCAAATAAACCAAACGCTACGCAGTCACACGCATTTCCCGACTCCTATAAAAACAACACTGTACAATAATGTATTATGTCACCATTTTGATTTTCATGCTAGTTGATTGTTTAGATTAAAATTTAAATATAATATACATTTTTTATAATACCACATTGTTTCTCACAATCAGTAGGCATAAAATATCTAATCACCGAAACAGTGGCTTAATTTTTTTTAGATAATATATCGAAATATAGAAAATATGCATGACTGCATGGACCAAAAGGACGTTGATGTTAATTTCCGCGAACCGTAAAATGTAAAAATTATTTTACGTTCAAATAGATTTTTATACTAAAAGATCATGAAAGTAATTATTAAAATTCACATACACACAGCTCGATGATATATTTTGCTAATATTTTACATTAAAAAATTATATAATAGTTTTACAAAACACTTTTTTTTTTGTAAAATATGGTTTCATCACGTTGTTGCCAGGTTATCTCATATCAATAACACAAATGTTTCAATAGTATATTGCTTTTGAATATTGTAAATATTAAAAACTACTTTCAAAACGCCAAATGAATAATTTGTGTGTTTTACTAACACTGTTATATTTTTATTTTATTTTATTATTAGCCTTTATTGGGAAATATGATGGCTCGACAATTACAAATGCACTGTTATATAATATAACTGTCTGTTGTTTAAAAAATGTGTTTAACGTTTTTCGACCAACACGACTGTTGTTGTCAGATTTGTGCAATGAGAATTTTAACTACGAAAATTATAATAACAAGTTTAATAGTTTAAATGTAAATGTTGTTTTGTATACCTACCTACTATATTATCTATGAACGACTGTAATGTGCGCGACAACTGTAATGTGATGTTAACAGATAAAAAAATGAATTATAAAAAAAAATCGTCGTTATTCGGTACGTTTTAAATTTTCAATGGTTTTTTTCTTGTATCAAGTAATAACATATAATATATAAATCATATTTTTTTCATCGCAATACCTATATGTACTCTTCCCACACACGCAGCGTTGTCGGTATGACATGACTAGCAGTTGACAATCTTTTATTGTTTTTTACTTGAACAGTTTATTTATTACCGACATTCAGAAAAATAATACCTTTTTTTTTTTATTAATAACACATTGAGTATAATCGTGATTATGCGTACAATTAAAACCTTAAAGCCCAATTAATTTATTATTATTATCATTATTATACTTAATATAGTTTATCGCCAATGTGCTATTGATTCTTTTACGTCGGTTAATCGCAGGCCACTTGTTGCTTTGAATGTGCCTGTCGGGTGACGACGAAGGATAAACGTGTTCCCGCGGGACTCGGTAACATCGACTTAACCGGTATTGTGTTGGAGCAGATGAATATCTGGATTGACCCACAAAATAACACTGGCATTTCCCCAGACGTTTGTTTGTAAACATAGAAAAGATTCAAACATGCCAACAATGGAAAAGTGAATTTTCCCAAATAGAGCCGTTGAAATTTTATGAGCTTATAAAACGAATAATACCGCATTCGTATCACGTTACGAAAAGTTATTGGAAGTTACGGTATTTCCTCGGACACGGTTATTATTTCACTACAGGCATTAGGGCGCAGAAATATATACGTGATAGTGACAAATAGCGATCCGTTTAAAAAAAAAAACCTCTTAATTACTAATATATACAGCCGATACGATGGTAATATTTATGAGAAATAGTAAAAGTTGGTAAAAAGTCGTTGGTCTCTGACGAAGTGAAAGCAATATTTACCTAGTAGCATAGGCGAATGACAATAAAAGGAGACTGCAATTTTATAATTATAGATCGTGATCACAAACGAAGCTGCCATTATATCGCTATTAATTTCTTCGTTATACATCTGATCAAGTTATAATAATACCAAGCACAGTTTTTCGAACGGTTAATGGGCATAGTCTGCTATTTTCTAGCAGTTGAGAATATTTAATGAAGTAGGTATATACTATAGTTGTACGACAATAAAAATATACTGTATCGCTACTCAATAGCACACTGCATAGATAATTTTTGGGAAATTGAGTTACGTGACCAACACCTATATAGAAAGCCAGATATTTAGTTTTACTGTAAGAGGATTTTCAATGATTTAAGGCGTCATGAATTTTCAAAAATATATTGTTGTACAATTTAAAAATAAACGCATGATATACTCTTGTACTATGATCGACATTCGACCTGTAATATTCGGTAGGAAGTTAAAGACAAACAGCCATCTTCATAAAATACATGAACAGTTGTGTAGAACAAAAATTCGAATATTTTGATGTAAACCCAAAAATAAAAAATATATTGATGTTTAATGGAATTATAGAAAAACGACTATATTAGGTACCTATGTAACTGTATAAGAGCTAACGACTGTGCCAAGAACTCACCTGTAGTAAGGAAAAGGCTGAGGTACGTGCAGGTCCATTGGGGTGTGGGCGGAATGAGGGTGAAACCCGTTAGCCACGGCTGCAGCGGCCACGGCAGCCGCCGCCGCTGCGGGGTGGTGATGGTGATGATCCTGTCCACCACCACCACCACTGTGGTATCCCGGGTGGTGGTGATGATGGTGGTGGTGCCCAAGCACTGTGGCGGCGGCGGCCCACGGTGATGGACCACCACCGTCCAACTCGACGTGCATGTTTTTTTTACGGCTATCGCTATAATCCTTGTTTTTTTAAATCGCAGATACACACTTGAACACCCGCGATAAAACGCGTCACTATACTACACCGCCATAACAATAATATGTGTTATAAAATCACTGCGGATCGAAAACGCGCGTAAATTATTCACGGAGAAAAACTAGTCGTTTTAAGACCGACCAAACGGTTATTTTCAGAAGGTTTTGGCGCTAAAATTATCCGTCTCGAGAAACCCGAATGAAGCCATCACGGAAAATAATCGATAAACTGGTGTCTGTGCGCACGGACACACGGTGCAGTGGTGCAGCGGCTGGTACACGGCCGGCGGCAGCGCGTCATTGATAAACGGCCGCCGGTACAAGCCGTTCCCGGCGGCGTGCCGCGTACCGATGGGCGGGCCCCGTACGATCCTCCACCAGAACCATACGCTCCGCCCCGACGGTAAGTGCGGTGTGTGCGTGCCGTTACCTGCCAGTCGCGCCACATAGGTGTCCCGCTTACCTGTCGGTCGTCCGCGTGTCTACCACGGAAACGTTGCGTTGGGGGGACATGGCCGTAAGTGGGAGAAACGTGACCCCCCCGTCAGAAACACTACCGCACCCTCATGGTTCTCGCATTGTATTTACTTCTATCTTTTTAGCTAAATATAAACACGAATTGCACACAGAAAAGCAGGCATTTGAGTATGATACATACATGAATTTGTGTAATTAAAGTAATTATCGTGTGCGCCGTAGAACACGAGTGAAGACACGGGTACTTTTTATTAAGAGGGCGTCGCACCGCCCATTTTTAAGGAGTAAAGTATAGGCAATTTTTTACAAAATCCTAATTTAAAAGTTAAACTGTATATTAGTTCAATAACTAGGACTCTATTTTGGAAGTTAATTTATTTTTGGACTATGACAGCGTCCTTGAAGGCGATTTAAAAATGTTTTTTCATCTCAACTTGCTTAAGCAGACTGAAAATAACTCGATTAATTTTGGTTTTAGAGTAAAAGCACCCATTATAAAATTAAAAGATGCCCTCCGGAATATTGTTTTCTTTTATTTTTATAATGAGAGCTTTTACTCTAAAACCAAAATTAAGCAAGTTATTTTCAGTCTGCTTAAACATGTTTTTACCACTGAAAATCACCGGTGCGACGCTCTCTTAACACAATAATAAAAGGGTGCATAGTGTTGAAACAGCCTACGATAACGTCTCGTTGTCAAAAGTCAAACTTATTTTTATACTGTATGACGTTATAGTTTAAATTAGTCAGATGAATTTCTCTACATTACAATTCGTTAAGGCTGGATGCACCGTATAAGATTAACGCTATAGCTTATGCCTTATAACTAAGTTTAAATAGGATAATACGGACAACGAGAATAAATGCAATAATTTAATTTCTATTTTGTTTAATTTATTTATTTACGAAATTTCTCGCTCACGACTCAAATGGACAAAGACTAAAGAAATATTCACACGTAAGAATATTACGGGGTATAATAATTCAGCAAATCATAAGATGATTAAAATAAAATGCATAATTCAACACAACAACAAGATAGTATTCAGCAACATAATAAAGAAACATAGGCAGAAAACATAATATTGTATAATCTCAAATTCGAATCAAAGTCAAAATTATAATGTTTGTTATACTGTTGTACTCAATATTAGCATGCGGTTTACGCTGAAAAATAAATAAATACTATATTAGCAGTAGGTCATAAGTAAACAAAGGACGTCGGTGAGATCTTGGAGCATTAAAGGTAATAACTTTACAATAATCGGGATAGTCAATTTTTTTTACATTTTTCGAAATTAAAAATCCTACAAGCATTGCTGCTTACTAAACGTCTTATTTATGTCTATTACACTTATTGCTGTTTATACTAAGTCTACAATTACACGACTAGTTGACATGATGACACCACACTCGTTCCAAGAACGTAAAATAACGACGAACGATGAAAAAGAATTACTGAAGTAAGTCTGTAGGTCTATATGAAATAGTAGTCAAATTAAATTTGAATAAACCAGTACAGTAGGTACAAAACTATTCTGAACCCATTGTTACAATATAAAAAAATAGCTTTAATTAATTCACTAATTAAAAGCATAGACACATTTTATGAGAGAGGGAAGGCTAGCCGCTTAGGTGTGTTAATCATTCAAAAGTAGTTTTGCGTTCTATAACTTAGGTTGCATGGTCAATAGAGGGGAAGAACTTAATGATAATGTTAGTTTGCAATTATAAGCCCCTGCTTATAAGTAGCACTCTCATGTGAGTTAATGTTCTCTTGTCATCGGGCAAAATTTACCGTCCGTATCGAATTAGTAAAATTATCAAAAATGTATAAACTAAATTGGCAATGGATTCAGTCTAGCCTAGCCAACGACTATTGCTAAGCACGTCACATTCTGTTTCCTAAAAACATAGAGAATAGTTCTTGTGGTTAGACAATTCTCAAACATTACACAAAATATGTTATACACCAAAAGAGAATAATATTTTATACGTGTAATAATTATGTGTTTTATGTTTTAGCTCGAATAAGCCAACGTATCTGAACCATTTTTAGTTGAACACAGGTTGAAAATACTGTCACATCGACAATACAACTGCATAACAGTAATTTGCATTACAGTAGCACACGATATATCGAGCTTAGGCTACATAATCTAAAGTATTCAACTGTGCAATTTCAATACTGTAGATCGCGTCGCCGCAGATCGATATTATGTTATATTACTATTTTGTTTTCAGAAATCCTAAATAATATACGTTCTTGTATTTTATTTCATTTACACTTTAGTAGTAGGTATACAAATTACTCATGAACAATCCACCGGCAATACACAGACACACACCACAAAAACATCAGACGCGACAGACCGCGTCCATAAGCGCCCATTATTGATGGCCGCTGATTATTCGCTTACAAATAACATACACTGATACACATTACCTATACCTATACATATTATATATAATAACATAATATATTACACTAATATAGCCTAGTCATACCGTAATATGTGCCGAAGTCCGTTTAAAATATGATAATACCTATTCGGGACTCACCTTAATGCTTAGTTACGCGCATATATACATATAATGTATATCCAAGCACACACGTTAGTATATATATACATCATGTACAATATGTGCAGCTAATCGGGCGATGCATTATTTACCGTATAAACAGCGGGAGTCACGTCTCCGAGGCGCACACTGTATACGAGTAAATGCATATAAATACTGCGTTGAACCGTTTGTTCTTCCATGCCGATCATTGCATGACAAATTCAATGAGGATCAATCAGCACCACTTTAGCACCGCGCCGGACCAGCAAACGTTTTTTAAAAGACCTCCTTTGGCTAGCTCTAATATATTGTTTTTTCCTCTAAATTATCTTTGAAACGATGATATTTTTTACTTTTGAACAACCGTCGTCGTTACCGCTTTTCCGAAGAAAAAAAACAAACGTTCATAATACAATATTATGTATATTACCTTCCATGATGCGTCGGCAAAATAATATATACCGACCGACGCGACGGATGGCTGGCAAACAACGATCATATAGGTATTTATTATTACACTAGACCGTGTTAATAGTGAGTTAATCTATTTTAGCTAATCATACATAACTGCTCAATGAAGAGTTGGAAAATAGTTAGACCAACTATAAAATAATGGTTATAATATAGTGACACGTTAATTTTATAGCTGGAATTTCTAAATAAATTGATACTTTTAGTTAATACAACTAATTTTTTCCTGCATAGAATACAACAAAACATATATTTATGTATTTGGACTTAGTCTACGTTCACCGCTGTTTGGAAAGTAATTTATTAGTTAAAGTTATTTATTGGTGTACCTATACTACATTTTTTTTAAATCTGCTATGAAATAACAAATTTAATTATTATTGCTGAGGATTTGAATTTTGTGTTATATAAATTGGGTAAGTTATATCCAAGTATTACTATATACCTAAGTATATAGTAAGTTCATACTTCACGTGTATTTATTTTATATTAATTGTTTATTTATTTAATTTAAATATTTATACATCACCCTTCCTAAAGTCATAAGTCGACGTACTTTATCAACTAAATAGATAATAGTATGTATTATAATATTTTTCACTATTAACAAGAAACCTTAAGCCGTGCGCTTTTATAAGAATAATAATAAAAGCCGTTTGTCCAATTTATTATTTATGCGATTTACCAATTTAGACTCTTATATACGCGCAGATAGGTTATATAAATAACTAATTCTTCTTTGCCTCGTACCGTACGAATGAGTGCAACTTCTCCCTTAGAAATAAATTTGAACAGTGTAGGTATACTCATGGAGAATAGGTGCATTGTACACATTTATATGGCTTTTACAAAAATCAGTTGACTTTAATTTTAGTAATCGAAATTTATTAACATTACACTCCTGTTAATACTCTGTTTCGGTGCCAACCACCAATCTGCCGTACGTAAACATGTGAAATTACTGCAATCACTTTACATTATATGCTTGTAGGCATGCACTTGATTTTCTATTAACGCACATTGTATATTATGTTTCCCCGAGGCTCGTGAATCTCCAGCGACCGCCACGGCCCGCGCATTGTAGGCCGAGACGATATAAAATTATAATGGGGAAATCGTAAAAACAGACAATTAGCGTGCATCATGTGCTCAAAATCGTTCCATAAAACACACACGCACCCCTTAGTTGTTTGACACTAATGTGTTCTATTGCACTGTTATAGTCGGCTCGTAAAAACGGCTAATCCAATTTAGACCACATAACAATAATAATAGTAATAACGTATATTGTAATACATTATAATCAAAAATATACGTGCCCAATTAGATGAACACCGCTTGTGATGTATATTTGAAAACACAGATTGATTTTAACATTTCCATTTCTCGCCCCGGTCTGCAGCCATACATATACGTTTAAAACGCAAACTGAAATTTCAATGCGAATTAATTATCCTCTAATTTACATACAGTAAAACGTGATTCGCATTCCAAACCGTTTTCGACACAAACAAGTGTACATACATTTATATCAAATATTATATAGTGTTCGTAATAATCCGAAAGATTATTCACGTGCGCCCTTTTCTTCTCCTTATTATACATTTATACTATTCACCAACTCAGTTCTGTATTTATTTTTAATATATTATTGTACAAAATGAATGAAACCATCTGACCTGATGGCCATGTCAATCCTGGTCAATAGTAAATTTATTGAGACACTTTTGTGTATTGGGAGAAGGTACATAATTTATAAT